TATAAACAGACTACTTAAAATAAATAACCAAAAGTTATACATATAACTAGTTGTATACTTATCTTGTACAAGTTATGTAATCATAATTAAAATACAATAAAAGCAATAGTTGCTAATAATTACAGTTTTAGTAAAAGCAAAAAAAAAAAAAAAACTGAACTAGTTTTTTAAGAAGTAAAAAATATTTAATTTAATATTATTACAAATACTAAAACTAGTTATATTTGTTTAAGAATATGCAATCTAAAATTAATATATTAAAGAACAATAGAAGCTTAAAAAGTAAAAAACAAAATTAAAAATAAAGTATAATAAGTTTACATTATATATAAATCTAATATCTAATTTTTTTTATATTTTAGTTTACTAAAAATTTTATATATTAGATAAATTATTAAATAAAGTTGTAAAATAAGTTTTTCTAATTCTAATAATAATAAAATTATCAAAATTGATTAAAAATTTATTGAAATATAAATATTAAAATTTTAATACAAAAAATTATATATAATAAATCATATAAATTAGCCAATCAAAATTGAATATTTTGTGTTACTTCAAAAACTTTTGATTTAGTTTGAAAAAAACTTTATAATATATAGAAGAAAATATTTTTTAAATTATATAAATATTAAACTTTACAAATATAAAAATACAGGTTTAATTTATATATTATTTAAATTTTATAAATTTTGGTTGTATTATTAAAAAGGTTTATTAGTAGCTTATTTTTGCTTTTAATATTTTTAATGTAAAACTTTTTTTGTATACTAAAATTATAGCAAATGATCTACATGTACTCTACCCTTAAACAAAAAAGATTTTTTATAATTTTTTGCTTAAAAAAATCCAAGCAAAAAAATTAATTTAAATAATTATAAAAAAAAGATAATCTAAATATTTACAATTCATATTATATTTTGCAATAAAATTAATATATTAGTAGATTTGTTTTAATTTTATATTAAATATTATAAAATAAATTATAACATATTTATACTAAATAATAAAATTCTTGTACGTAAATAAATATAAAACAATTATTTATTACTAATGTATATATACTATATAAATTTAGAAATTAATATTAAATATTACTTAAATGGATTCAATTAGCCTATATGGCTAGTTTGATATAATTTCTAGTTTGAAAGAATCCAATAATATAAAACTAATTAAAAAAATATTTGTATAAAAATAATACAATAAAGCTTAATAAAAATACAGTATTAACAAACTGCTAAAATAAAATTTTACTAATAAAATTGGGTTTGAAGTTCTAATTAAAAAAATTAAAATAGGTGGTCATCAAGATATACGTATATTATCAAAGTTTGAAAAATGACAGCCACTTTTTCGCCATGGTTAGGGTACTAACGGGATCCAATGCAGGCCTCTATGCGAAAATATCTTTCGTGTAATTGCATGATACACATGACATGAACATGCTCTATGAACATGCCAGGGACCCATGCCACATACCCTATTTGAAAGGATACGTAGCAGAAATTATCGATATTTATTTATTAGTTAGTACGTGATGATTTTGGCGTGATATTTTGTACGAAGGATTACATAATTTCATGGCAACAATATCAAGGCAAAAAAGAGAGTCACACGATCATGTCACATGCCGGATACCAAAATTTATAATCGTTATATAATCGTTATGAATTGTTATTTATTGATTGATTAATTTTAAATCAATAAATAAATCTTTGTTCTATAAAAACAAATGACAATAATAGCGATAATATTTTGAAATTTATCGTTATTGTAATTAAACCATAACACAAAAATTTCAAATTTGAACATATAGTATGGTATGGACATGCAGGTAATGGTTTTTCCGCCGAACACTTTGCGATGGGGGTGATCACTGATTTATTAAGGTTATTTAATCATAAGAAGGTGATAACATATCCGTTAAATCTTAATAAAAATCTTAAACACGATTAAGGAATCATTCGACGGCCGTATAAAATAAATAAATTCGGGTACGCACATTGTTTATCGTTATCGGAGTTTCAAGTTTAAAATACTTAAAATGGATAAAAATGAATAAAACATGTGATTTAATCGGGAATTTTAATTCGGTGAATTAAAAAAATGTTTTATATACAGATACGGAGCTGAGCGTATCGGTATTTTATTTAATGTCTAAAAAAATAAAATATTCGCGAGATATCACTATTGTATGCGCCATGACAATAGATTAACGGTAATGGTAATGGTAAGGAAAAATCTCGCTAATAATCACCTCGGCGTGCATTTATAGAGGGCATATACGTACGTATTATACATAAGCAGTACTTATGTATTTGGGTTTTATAAGTTTGGGACTGGGCCGAATGTGCAGATACATCATACGTGCATTTATGGAGATTGTGATTAGGGAGATTTCTCTATTACTTTTTTTCTATAACTTCTATATTTGCATTTCTGTAAAGTTGTTACCTATCGTCATTTTAGTTGTACAGCAAAAGATTATATTGACAATCGTTTTAGCCATGTAATATTAGTAAACATTGATAAAATGATAATAAATGATAAAGATTATCTTTATAAAGATATTTGATTCCCTAAAGTAACAGTTGTTGAAAACTCCTGCAGGCTTTTATAGCGCCGAATGCGTTATTGCCGCTCATAACACATAACAACACTTTAATTTGTAATTATATAAGCTTTGACATAAACGGCAAGTAGGCAACATTTTAGTCCTCATAAAAAGATGTTACATTACGCACTGCGGAGGATGTTGGCCAATGAAAAAGATTATTTGCTTACACAAAAAAGATGCCCAATCAAGCAATCATATTTGTGCAATCATAATTTTATAAAAAGGTGTGATTTGTAACTTTTGAAATTGGTAATCATTTAACATCCTATTTATTCCCGATTCCTTACTGAACACTTGCTGAACTTGTTAAAATGTTAGATAAAAAGACGGCCTGTCAAAGAGAATTTCATGATGAAACCTTACGTCTTGAAGCACTTACTCACAAATCTTTTCATTACGAAAATCCTAAAACTGGTCCTCATAACGAACGCCTAGAATTTCTAGGTGATTCCATCGTTTCCTTTGTTGTAGCTAACTATTTATTTGGGCGCTTTCCCAACTTCAAAGAGGGTCAACTTACTTTGTTACGAGCCAATCTTGTTTGTAAAAAAAAGTTGGCTCAGTTTGCTTTACAACTCGGTCTAGACATGGATATTCGACTTGGTGTTGGTGCTTTACGAGACGGTGGAAGAGCAAGTGAAAAGGTCTTGGAAGATGCTTTCGAGGCTTATATTGGTGCCGTCTTTCTTGATTCAGGTTCAAGCATGCGTGCAGTTCAGGAATTTATGGAGCCATTATTATCACCTGCGGTCGACGAACTTACCTGTTGCCCACCTCCCAATTTGCTACCTTACAAGCAAGAATCGTCAAAAGCTGATATGTCATCAACGGGTTCTAGTTCTTCCGATCACATACTCAATTCCGATCTTCAAGATCCAATCAATAAACTCCAAACGTGGTCTCAACGAAAAAGATTAGGCATCCCTGTTTACAAACCTCTCGAAGAAGTTGGTGAGCACAATGCGATCTTTTCTGTTGGCGTCTTTATCGATGAAGAATGTTACGGAAGTGGTAAGGCACGTAATAAGAAAGATGCAAAGAAAGAAGCCGCTATCAATGCCCTCAAGTCTGTTAATAATGGGTGTAGTAATGGAGGGCCTAAACCTACCACAGCAGGAAGTAGTAACGGAATATTCAAACCTGTCATTACGAGTATTAGCAATGGGATAAACACAATACGGTCCGAACGTCATTCGAGCATTCCTCGTCCACCTATTTCTTTGAAAAATATGAGAAAAGGGCTTAATAATTCGCATAACCCCGCATATCCCATACGTCTCTAAGTCGTTCTTTGTTAGATATACTTCTCTTGTCCTTCAGGGTACCAGTGACCTTCTGTGTGGACCAACTTTTTTTCCATTAATCAAAATTTCTTTTTGGTTGAATCACTCTTCAACGAGTTGACTCACACCGAAGGTCATTGTTCTGTTCGTGTTATAGTGTGATGTTTATTTAAATTATTTAATAAAGTATTTAAGTTTTTTCATTATTGTCTCTTAAAAGTGAAGTATTTGCCATGAAATATAAAAGTTGTTACATTTTAAATAAATTATTGTCAAATAAAATCGACCCTCTATAAATAACTGACAATTATGGAAATTTTGTCATAAAGATTTTTTTCAAAGAACCATAAAATTTAATATTGTTAGGTATGAAAATACTCTGCCGGGACCTCACGTGAGAGCGGGTATAGCGATCAATTCCTTGATATGGATATCCCGGCAATTCATCGCATTGATTCGATTAATTAAATATATCAAGGAAAGGGGATTTAATAGCGAAGGGGAATTTATTAAGTATAAGGGTTTAGGTGGATAAATTAGAAAGATCGAATTAAATAAAGAAAATAGAGAAGAGAGATTAATGTAATTAAATAAGTCATAATTAAAAATTAATATAAATAAAGGCCCTAAGAGACGACATGTCTCGTTTGCTTTATTAAATAACAAGTCCCAAATACATTGTATCGTCCATAATAAAACCCTAACACTATACCCAGTATAAACTCTGTAAACCCCTATAAACATCGTCGTTCATTCAAGTTCTTGTTCACGTGACTTACCTTACTTGTATTCGTTGACCCAAAGTAACCGAAAGCCTTAATAACCCACCAGCCAAATCTAACACCCTCTTTCGAAAAGGTTACCTATCGTACGTTACGCGAGAATTTGGATTGTGGAGTACATTCTTTTTTATAATGAACAGTAAATTTTTTATATATTGTTGGGTTCGGAAAACTGCGACTCGGTCGCTCCGGAAAAGCCATTTCTGTAAAATAACATTAGCCGATCATGAAACCAGATTTTTTTGTCACGTGCAATAGATAGTCATAACGGTAGTATGCATTTGCAGCTCAATTAATAATTTCGTCCTAAAAGCCATGGATAATAAAGATTACGACGACGATTTCTACGAAAAAGCAGAATTACTACCAGTTCCAGTGGAGTATAGGGGGAAAGAGGTTTGTAAAGTGGCTTTACTTTGAACATTTAAAAATATGCCATTAAATATATTGGTAACATTCAATGGTGGTAGAATGTTGAACATTCGATGGTAGTAAACTGTTGTAAATTTTAATGTTACCGGAAATTTTGATGAAATTATTAATATTATATCTATTAATTTTTTGTTTTAAGAAAAGGACTTTGTTCATTATATTTCTCAGTGCATTCCTAGTCTCAATTGGTACAATAGGATTCGCCTCAATATGGGTTGAATTATCTAATGGTAAATAATACAAATAATTTTTGAATCTGATTTGTTTTCATGAATCATTTAAACTTTAATTTTAATTTTAATAGAATTACCGATTAAGCGAAATGTCATATTAATGATTTCTGATGGATTCGGTCCTGCTTCAGAGACTTTTGCTCGTGATTATTACCAATATGTTAATGACTTGCATTATAATTATACCACATCTTTGGATCAAATCCTTGTTGGTTTATCTCGAACGAGGTCTTCTAATTGTCTTGTCACTGATTCTGCTGCTGGAGCAACGGCATTTTCATGCGTTAAAAAAACCTATAATGGTGCTATTGCAGGTTGTTAATGTTTCTATACTTTGACGTACAATCGTTTTATTTGATTATTTATTCATGGTCCTAATGAACTTTTTAAATTCCTTATATCAGTTGATCCTGATAAGGTTCCATGTGGTACTGTTCTTGAGGCTGCGAAAGCTATTGGAATGGCAACAGGATTAGTTGTTACTAGTCGTATCACTCACGCTACACCAGCTTCATTCTCGTCTCATGTTATTAGTAGAGATATGGAGGATATTATTGCTATTCAACAGCTTGGTGATTATCCTCTTGGAAGACAAGTTGATCTGATGATAGGTGGTGGTCGGTGCTATTTCTTGCCAAATTCTACTGTCGGTAGTTGTAGGGGAGACGATCGGGATTTAATTACAGAAGCAGAGAAATCTGGTTTTACATATTTTTCTTCTAGAAAAGAATTTGATGATATTGATCCTGAATCGCAAAGGTTTATAAACAGTTCCCTAATATATTTTAGTTCTATTGGTTCTTTATATATGTTAATTGTCATATACATATTATTTCCAGTATTCCCCTTCTTGGCTTATTTACCCTTGACGTGAGCATTTATTATTGGATTATATCCATGTTAATTGAAAATATCTACTTAATATTTAACTATAATTTATTTTCAGCATATGTCCTATGAGATAGATCGTGTTCCCAGTGTTGAACCCTCTCTCAAAGAAATGTCTGAAAAAGCAATTCGAATTCTCGAAGCACAAACTGCTCATAGTGATAAAGGTTTCTTCCTTATGATCGAAGGCAGTCGAATTGGTAATTATTCGTAAACAGTTTTTGTGTTGAATATTTACATTAAATACTAATCTTTTATACTTTTATTGATGTATATACATTGAATACTTTATAAAGATATGGCTGGTCACGCGTAAGTAATAATAAAGTAATAAAAATCAGTGAATATCCGACTAAAATTTTTCTATAAAATTTTTTGCAGGAACGATCCAGGCGCACACGTTCATGAAATTTTGGCTTATCATCAAGCAATTGAATTTGTTACTAAATATGTAGATGATCATCCAGGGACAGTTCTCATATCGGTAAATTTTATGATATTGCAAGCAATGTGCTGATGAAATTTCAAGCAGCATATTATTATCTATAATCGCTATGTTTCATTACAATTAATATTATAAATGTTGTGTTTGACAGGTTAGTGATCATGAAACTGGTGGCCTGAGTCTCTCTCGACAAACAAATGCTTCTTATCCCCAATATCTATGGTAAGAACATTTTAATTCCTTTCATTTTTGTTGTCTGTACTATTCAATAGATTATCGATCATATTAGGTATCCTGATGTAATATCCCGTATAAAAAATTCTTCATATGCCTTATCTATGAAATTGACTGACTACTGGAAAGACGATCGAACTGATTACGTAAAAGATACCATTTTACGGAATAGTCTAGGAATTAGTGATTTTACGGATGACGAAGTAAACTTCTTAGTTGAAAATCAAACTCGAATAGATTATGAATATTATATGGCCAATTTGACAAGTTGGAGAGCTCGTTTGGGTGTAATTAACACATTTCATTAAATAACCTGTGATTCTTAAGTTGAAATATTGAGATTCAATACGTTTCTTTTCTGTTTTTATTACGAATACAGTGGACAACACATGGCCATACGGGTGTCGACGTTAGTCTTTTTGCATATGGAATAAACACAGGACCATTACATGGAAATCATGAAGTAATTTATATTGATTATGATCGTAAAGTCAGTTGAAATTTTATATTAATTTATGATCATTTGGTTTAGAACACCTATATCGGCCAATTTATTACGGACTATCTTGATTTGGATGTTGACAGCATTACCCTAAAATTGAATAGGTTTGCTAAAAATGGTTATAACATGTTTACATTTAAAATTCTAATTTACTTATGAATTTATCTTCATGTCTTGCTACCATATAACAGAAACAATAGTATGTGTTATCACTATTATTATTAAAACACGTTTAAAGTTATGTTTTTCTATTATAATAAACTTCTATTTTTATATTCTATTTTAGCTTTCCATAAATCAACTGGTAACATTACCAACTACAATGTAGATCATCTAGAACATTATCATTCGGGTCATATATCTCAGTAAGAGTTTAGCTGAATTTTCTGGTAATTTCAATTTTAAAAGTTTATTACTAAATTTCCTATTGATGAGATGTTTTACTCTGATTATTTACGAACTTTAAATTCTATAATTTTTTATTAGTGATAATTTAGAATTCTTATTACTGCTATACTAAGCCTCTATGTACTGTTCTATAACGAATTAAAAGGTTCAAAACAAAGAATTTATATTATTCAACTGGATATAACGAATTTATACTATAAATTTATATCGCATCTGTATTCAATTGGGTTAATACATATAGTAATATGTTTATTTTACATAACTAACATTAATTAACTAGACAGATTATTATAGTCTACCTGTATAAAATTGCTAAAATAGTAACTTATTTTGATACCGATATGGTTCTAATCTATGAACATTTGAAATTGAGCAGAATTTTTTTAGTTTGGGGATCTTTAGATAAATAAAAGTTGCATGGTTGATGCATTTAGTGCTGCCTTTTGATACATGTATAAATGGTATTAATTGTCAACGGTTCAATACATGAATATCAAGTACCCAATACTTAGATATGCACCAAAGACTTGAAGTATTCAGATACGTATATAGATTTTTTGAAATATATCTGATAGAATCAAAATGCATATTAGGTAGTTATCGGACATACCAATATTTTTACATACAAATTATTAATCCGATACTTATCTGATTGTGATATATTGCATATCAGGTAATTGCAAGAAATTTTTTATTTTTTATATATCTGATACAGTATTTATATTTTAGAATACGTGGTAATAATTTTGCTAAAATATGTATATTTTGTCTTTTTATATATAAATAAAAAATTTTTTATACTTTTTATTAAAAAGATAGTAATATTTTTATATTATTTTTTTATAAGTACTGCTAATCGTTACAGGCTATGAAAATTGAAATAAAAAAATTTATTAATTTTAGATAGATAGTTATTGAGATATCTTCAATTAGAGTTTAAAAAAAAAACTTTATGCAGATTCTATTTTGGGTTATTTAAATTTTTTTTTAAACTTTAATTAAAAATATTTTGACAATCATTTATTCAAATTAATAAAATTTTTTATTTTAATTATATAGCTAGTAATTTGATCCGGGTGGGTATTATTCGAGTTATCCGCAAATAGATGGATGGATAATTATGTTTAAAATTGGTTTGTAAGAGTTTCTTTTACTATGCAAGAATATTTGTTATAAAAATTATATTTATTGAATATTTAATTGAGATTTTACATAGAGTATAATTTTGTTTTTAAAATATTATAGAAAGAATAGAAGTTCAGACTAATTTATCTGCGATCTAAACCAACAGAAGTGATCAAGGCTTACTTAAATTTGGATGTTAGTAATTATATATAGAAGGTTAGTTTAATATTTGATCCATTGAATATATTAAGAGTTTATTTTTGAACTAATAAAATTGAATGAAAAAAACATAATGAAAGGGAAACAATATTTGATAATGAGTTGTATTTAAAAGATTGAATTGTAAATCTTGAAATACAATAAGAAATTCAGATTTTGTAATAAATTTGTTAATTAAGATGAAACAAAAATTTTATAATAGGTGTTGTAGTTATTTTTTTTTAGATAATAAGCTTGCAATAATATCAATAAATTTATTTGATATTAGACTTGTTAGAGTTAAGAAAATTGAAAATACATTTGATGTACTATGAATAGTTCTACTACTTAACAGTTTAATTTGATTATATAAATTGATTATAATATTTGATATAATGTCAAATATTTTAGTATTAAAGATGTATTATAATAAAATATTTATAAGTTTATATAATAATTGATTAGATAGACATGTTGTCTAATAAAAATAAGAATTGATTTAGTAATATTGATAATAAATAAGTGAATATAAATAATATTGTTTGTATAGAATATAAGATGCAGCAGCAGGAGGCACGAGCAGAATTTTTTTTTGCTAAGTGTTATTTTATGTGCTTTTTTTACACCTTCAGTCTGCAAGTTATTTTACTTAAAATTACTAAAATCAATAGCAATTTTGATATATATCAGAAATCGATACCCAAGAACATGTCTAGAAAAGGTGTTTTTTTCATTTTTTAATTCATCTCTAGAAGCTCAAGAACTATAATTTGTTTTCTTGACAGAACAAAGCAATTTAAAACTTAAGAAATATAATTTGCTTTTTTAATTAGAAAAATATCTAAAATCCTTAAATTATATAATTTGTTTTCTTAACAGAGCGAAGTGATTTAAAACTTAAGATATATAATTTATTTCCTTAATAATAAAAACGCCTAAAACCTTTAAGTTTTATAATTTGATTTCTTGATTCAGAATATACCTTAAACTTTTAAGTTCTATAATTTATATTAAGAAAGACCCACCTAGAAGGTTCTAATGTGTAATATAGTAGAGCATCATAGGCCTATCTGGAAGGTTCTAATGCGGAATACAGTAGAGCATCTATCCCTACCTGGAAGGTTTTTAAGTTATCAATTATATATCACATATATGCTAAAGGTAACCTCAAAGAGATGCATCAAAAAAAAAATTAGGCCCATCTGGAAGGTTCTAATGTGTAACAAAATGAAGCATCTAGACCCACCTGGAAGGTTTTTAAGATATCAATTATATATAACATATATCAAAGGGGAGTCAGGACAAAATCTAACCTCAAAGTATATATATCAAAATCTAACCTCAAAGAGACGCATCAAAAAAAAATTAGACCCACCTGGAAGATTCTAATGTGTAACACAGTGGAGCATCATAGGCCCACCTGGAAGGTTCTGATATGTAACAATATTTTGCTTTTTACGACACACACCAAGATAGCACATTTTACATATAGGACCACATATGAACTATCATATATCAATTTGACAATTGAGGTTGATTTCTGTCATCAGGTTACATGTGACATAGTTGATTTCTGACATTATAATATGTGATATACCTGATCCGATTTCTACGAGAATGACGTGTATTTTATATTTTATAATACATATCAGCCTTATTATAAGATTGATGGACCGAATATATTTTATGTGTTATTTGTAAAGGTCAATAGCCAGGTAAGTAATGAAAAAAGTAGATTATCTTTGATTATATATGTATGAAGGTGGATATATGCTATCAGGTATGTTATCAGATATGCTATTATCAATTACTGGGCAGTCACATAATGGCTAACTTATTTAATTTCTGGTTTTGGCAAAAGCTAACATAAAATACTTAGGTCACAGAGCAAGAAGCCGGATTATTGCAAGAAAGCAAATGAAGAAGCAGGTGAGAAAGCAGTGATCTTATTAAGCTAACAAGAGTAAAATTGCAAAACATAAAACCTTTTTCCTCTTTAGTTCAGAAAAAGAAAAGTAGTTAACCTAATTAAGATCTGGCTTGA